AAAAAAAAGAACCAGAGATTCAGACCAAGATTACATAACGGTGAGTGGGGCTGGGAAAGAGGAGAGCCCAGACATAACAGCTTAGAATGACTAGGAAAAGCATTGTATCTTAACATGACTCATATTCTGTAGTTATTCAGAAATACTTGATGATGCCAGAGGGTACTCACAATACAACATCAAGCAAAACAGAGATGTGGGATGATCAGATTGTGTACACCAAGAGATGCATCCTCTTCCGTTCTTTCCGAAACAAGGCTGAGGCAAGGCCTGCCAAGGGTCAGCCATCTCGGGATGGGTGGATTGCAGTTTGGAGGTTTTGAGGAGGTCCAAAAAACACTTAATGTTTGGGGGTTATGCATAATAAATAAGTGGCTTGGCGTACCTTCTATGAAAAGTAGTAGAGAGAACTTGGGTATCTAATTAGCTGTAATTTAGCAGTAATGGCTTTATTAGGGGAAAACATACTGAAATCTGTTTGTCTCCAAAACTGGGGGATGTAGTTGGTTTGGTTTGAATAAAGAGGCAGCAAAATATGGGTGCTGAAGGATTGCTGTACAGATTCTGGTATTCTTAGATGTGTTGATTTTTATTCAGTGGATATATCGGAGAGAGAGTTGTTGTTTAAATAGAAAGAAGCTTCTAAGAGGAGAAGTGATTTAAAAAAAAAGTTAGAGTAGACTTGCAAAGAAAATGGTCATAGAAGAGACTTGGGTCACCTCCATTTCCAAAAGTTGGAGCTGTCTACAGAGAAATAGATTAAGCCTCTTTTAGAGACGGCTCACAGAACAGTGTGTTGTGACTGTTAGTGCCTAGGTTAGCCGTGGGGGCTCATACCTGCAAACCTGACACTCAGGAGGATTGCAGGTTTGGCGCCAGCCGGGGCTACAGAGTGAGGTGCTGTCCCAGGGGAAACACCACCACCATAGCAAACACTTAAAGTGGTGTTAAAGTACCAAGAAGCATAACAATTAACACTTTTTCTGAATAGGACCCAATTTATGGAAAAGGAAAACTTGGAGAAATCCAGGGCCTTATTCTGGGGATGCTGGACACCTTTAATTACGAGCAGGTGAGTAAGCTGCCTGCATCCATGTCTGTCTTAGGATAGAAAAATAATGTATGTTTCTTTTCTATTCTTTTCTTATGTTTGAACATTTTTGTCTTTGAAAATTATTACTTACTAAAATAAGGTAGATTGAGATACATATGTACCTTTCTCTACTTTTAAGTTTCTTGTGAACTTAACTTATACTTCCCAGACAGAGAGAGAGAGAGAGAGAGAGAGAGAGAGAGAATATTGAAGTACATCTTACTTATTTTTTGATTCATTGGCAATCAGACCAGTATTTTATTTTCAAAATGGAAGTATTATAAACTTGCTAGGTAAATGATTAAGTAAAAGATTCTTTAATCCAAGACTGGAGAGGTGGCTCAGAGGTTAAGAGCACTGGCTGCTCTTCCAGAGGTCATGATTTCAATTCCCAGCAACCACATGGTGGCTCACAACCATCTGAAATAAAATCTGGTGCCCTCTTCTGGCATGCAGGTGTTCATGCAAACACACATTGGATACATAATAAATAAATAGACCTTTAAAAAAATTCTTTAATCCATAAAAGGGGTAAGTATAATTACAGAAAATAGTAAGGTAAAATTAAGTATTCTGAAACATTATTGCTACTAACTAGAAATAGTCATTATTCTTTTCTTAACTCAAAGTTGTTTTTATAGCTTTTAAAACCAGTGAGAGCCACTTTGACTTTGTTCATATTTTCCCTGGAGAAAGGACCAGGTGCTGTGTATGTGTGTTGATACAGTCTCTGCTTTCTATTAAGAAAGACAAAAGGGCTGAGAAAGAAATTAGGGAAACAACACCCTTCACAATAGCCACAAATGATATAAAGTACCTTGGTGTACCCCTAACCAAGCAAGTCAAAGACTTGTATGAAAAAAATTTCAAGTCTCTGAAGAAAGAATTAGAAGAAGATATCAGAATATGGAAAGATCTCCCATGCTCATGGCTTGGCAGGATTAACATAGTAAAAATGGCCATCTTACCAAAAGCAATCTACAGATTCAGTGCAATTCCCATCAAATTACCAACACAGTTCTTTACAGACCTGGAAAGAAAAATTCTCAACTTCATATGGAATAACAAGAAACAAGAATTGCTAAAACAATTCTCTACAATAAAAGATCTTCCGGAGGTATCTCTATCCCTGATCTTAAGCTGTACTCTAGAACAACAGTAATAAAAACTGCATGGTACTGGCATAGAGACAGAATGGTGGATCAATGGAACCGAACAGAAGACCCAGAAATAAACCCACACACTTATGGACATCTGATCTTTGACAAAGATGCCAAAACCATACAATGGAAAAAAGATAGCATCTTCAACAAATGGTACTGGTCTAACTGGATGTCTACGTGTAGAAAAATGCAAATAGATCCATACTTATCACCCTGCACAAAACTAAAGTCCAAGTGGATCAAAGACCTCAACATGAAACCAGACACATTAAATTGGTTAGAAGAAAAAGTGGGGAAGAGCCTAGAACTCATTGGTACAGGAGACAACTTCCTGAACAGAATATCAACAGCACAGGCTCTAAGAACAACAATCAATAAATGGGACTTCATGAGACTGAAAAGCTTCTGTAAAGCAAAGGACACCGTCATCAAAACAAAACGAATGCCTACAGATTGGGAAAGAATCTTCACCAACCCTTTATCTGACAGAGGGCTAATATCCAGTATATATAAAGAACTAAAGAAGCTAAAAAGCAACAAACCAAGTAATCCAGTTAAAAAATGGGGAACAGAGCTAAACAGAGAATTCTCGATAGAGGAATATCAAATGGCAGAGAAACACTTAAATGTTCAACCTCATTAGCCATTAGGGACATGCAAATCAAAACGACCCTGAGATTTCACATTACACCCATCAGAATAGCCAAGATCAAAAACTCAAGTGACAACACATGCTGGAGAGGTTGTGGAGAAAGGGGAGCCCTCCTCCACTGCTGGTGGGAATGTAAACTTGTACAACCACTCTGGAAAACAATCTGGCACTTCCTCAGACAACAAGGAATAGCGCTTCCTCAAGATCCAGTTATACCACTCCTAGGCATATATCCAAAAGAGGCCCAAGTACACAATAAGAACATTTGCTCAACCATATTTATAGCAGCTTTATTTGTAATAGCCAGAAGCTGGAAACTGCCCAGATGCCCCTCAACTGAAGAATGGATGCAGAAACTGGTACATCTACACAATGGAATATTACTCAGCAATGAAAAATAAGGAAATCATGAAATTTGCAGGTAAATGGTGGTAACTGGAAAGGATCATCCTGAGTGAGCTGTCCCAGAAGCAGAAAGACACACATGGTATATATTCACTCATATAGACATATAATATAGGATAAACCTACTAAAATCTGTACATGTAAAGAAACTAATCAAGAGGGAGGACCCTGACTAAAATGCTCAATCCCCATCCCGAAAGGCAAAGAGGATGGACATCAGAAGAAGAAGAAAACAGGAAACAAGTTAGGAACCTGCCACAGAGGATCCCTGAAAGGCTCTGCCCTGCGGATTATCAAAGCAGATGCTGAGACTTAGGGCCAACTGTTGGGCAGAGTGCAGGGAATCTTATGAAAGAAGTGGGAAATAGTAAGATCTGGAGAGGGCAGGAACTCCACAGGAGTTCAGCAACAGAACCAGAAAATTTGAGCACAGAGGTCTTTCCTGAGACTCATACTCCAACCAAGTACCATGCATGGAAATAACCTAGAACCCCTGCACACTTGTAGCCCATGGCAGTTCAGTGTCCAGGTGGGTTACATAGTAATGGGAAGAGGGACTGCCTCTGACATAAACTGATTGGCCTGCTCTTTGATCACCTCCCCCTGAAGGGGGAGCAGCCTTACCAGGCCACAGAAGATGACAATGCAGCCATTCCTGATGAGATCTGATAGACTAAGATCAGAAGGAAGGAGAAGGGGATCTCCCCTATCAGTGGACTTGGGGAGGGGCCTTGCGTAAAGAAGGGGGAGTGGGGTTGGGAGGGGAGGAGGGAGGAGTTTATGGGGGGATACAAAGTGAATAACATGTAATTAATAAAAGTTAAAAAAAGACACTATTCCCAAAACATACACAAGAGAAAAGTATTTGATAAACAAAACCTGAAGAAAAATAAAAAAAATAAAAAGAATTTACGAGTGAGAAGAAGAAAAATTGAGAGGCAGAGTTTTTTAAAATGTCCTTAAGAATTAAAGTTTTTCATTGCTGAGTAATATTCCATTGTGTAGATGTACCACAATTTCTGCATCCATTCTTCAGTTGAGGGGCATCTGGGCAGTTTCCAGCTTCTGGCTATTACAAATAAAGCTGCTATAAACATAGTTGAGCAAATGTTCTTATTGTGTACTTGAGCCTCTTTTGGATATATGCCTAGGTATAGCTGGATCTTGAGGAAGCGCTATTCCTTGTTGTCTGAGGAAGCGCCAGATTGATTTCCAGAGTGGTTGTACAAGTTTACATTCCCACCAGCAGTGGAGGAGGGTTCCTCTTTCTCCATAACCTCTCCAGCATGTGTTGTCACTTGAGGTTTTGATCTTGGCAAGGAAATCATGAAATTTGCAGGTAAATGGTGGGAACTGGAAGGGATCATCCTGAGTGAGCTATCCCAGAGCAGAAAGACACACAGTATATACTCACTCATATAGACATATAATATAGGATAAACCTACTAAAATCTGTATACCTGAAGAAACTAATCAAGAGGGAGGACCCTGACTAAAATGTCCAATCCCCATCCCGAAAGGCAAAGAGGATGGACATCAGAAGAAGAAGAAAACAGGAAACAAGTTAGGAACCTGCCACAGAGGACCTCTGAAAGGCTCTGCCCTGCATACTATCAAAGCAGATGCTGAGTCTTATGGCCAAACTTTGGGCAGAGTGCAGGGAATCTTATGAAAGAAGTGGGAAATAACAGTAAGATCTGGAGAGGACAGGAGGTCCACAAGGAGAGCAACAGAACCAAAAAAATTTGAGCACAGGGGTCTTTCCTGAGACTCATACTCCAACTAAGTACCATGCATGGAGATAACCTAGAACCCCTGCACAGATGTAGCCCATGGCAGTTCAGTGTCCAAGTAGGTTCCATAGTAATGGGAAGAGGGACTGCTTCTGACATGAACTGATTGTCCTGCTCTTTGATCAACTCCCCCTGAGGGGGGAGCAGCCTTACTAGGCCACAGAGGAAGACAATGCAGCCACTCCTGATGAGACCTAACAGATTAGGATCAGAAGGAAGAAAAAGAACCCCCCCACACCAGTGGAGTTGGGGAGGGGCGTGTGTGGAGAAGGGGAAGAAAGGGATTGGGAGGGGAAGAGGGAAGGAACTAGAGGGGGGATACAAAGTAAATAAAGTGTAATTAAAACTAAAATAAAATAAAATAAAATAAAGAATTAAAGTCTTGCCCCAGATGGCACAGAGAGACTCAATGCCCCCACAGATACAGACCCTGAGAAGGTGGGGAGGGAGGAGCTGAGCACAGCAGACTCATTGTAGAGCCTAGAAAAGGAGAGAAGATAAAGCTAATTGGAAGAAATTAGCATGCCTTGACAACTAAGTAGAAGTTTTGCATTTGAGTTAAAGTTGAAGAGTTAAACTGTAGAACAAAGAGGTGAGCTTCGCCAGCTCTGTCTTTCCCTGACTGGATGTCTCAATGGTCTGTGTGAAGGTTGAGAACTGATAGAGCATGAGAGCACTTTACAAGCATAAGGCAGCCCCAAAGTGACCCAGTGTGCATCTTCGAAATGTCTTAATGACAGATGGCAGGGGCTTGAGCAGCTTCCAATGACTTTTAAGTGCTGATCAGAAAATGAGATCTTTGCCCAAGGGAGATGAACACTGAGTAATGACCATTAGCTCCCCACCGAGCGGCTATCTGAAACACTGCCATGCAGCAGTTTGAGCAAGAGGCCAGGGATTGAGGCTGTTCTTCTCACAGCTGTCAGCCGTGGAGAGAGAAGTTATAAATGCACTGAATAGATTTGGCCTTACCGAGTTATCTGAAAGCTCCTGTACTGAGTTAAGCCACAGAAGGACCACACACATTGCTTGAGCATTTTAATGTCTACATCATTGTCACTGCACGGGAAGGGCCCCTGCTTGAGTGTATGAGTTTGTATACTTGTCTCACCTTCTGTAGAGTGCTCTAATTTTGGTTGTGATGTGTTTCATTAATCCTGTCTTTCATTTGAACCCTTTCTCCTTTGACCTTTCTTAGACCTTGCTAGAAACAACAACCAACCTTCTGAACCAAGATCTCCATTGGTCACTGTGTAACCTGAGAGCTTCGGTCTCCAGAGGGCTCAATCCCAAACAGGATTACTGTTCCATATGTTTACAGCAGTACAAAAGACGCCAGGAAATGGCCGATGAAATTATCGTCTTTAGGTAAGGAGTGCAAACTCTCTTGGTAGCAGCAAAGCAAAGCTGTGACCACGCAGCCCCAGTCAGTGATAAAGCAGTGGACCAGACAGCCAGAGTTCGTTCGCCACGGCCTTCACAGTCTGCACGGGATGGGGGGGGGGGGGGGACTAAGGGTCTCAGACATCCTCTAAGTCAGAGTGAAGATGAAAATAAGTACAAGGTAGCAGAACGAGAGGATGATGTGTTGTCAGACAACACTCAGACACATAAATGAATGCATGAGTGAATGAATGAATGCAGGCTGAACAAGTATGCAGTAAAACACCAATACACTAAACAAACAAATAACTAAAAGACAGCAGGCTGAACAAGCCATGAGAAACAAGCCAGTAATTAGTGTCCTCAGTGGCTTCTGCTTCAGTCCCTGCCTTGAGTTCCTGCCCTGCTTTACCTCACTGATGGTGACATGAGAGTTGTAAGCTGAGATAAACGCTTTCTTCCCAGGTTGCTTTTAGTCATAGTCTTAGTTACTTTTTTATTTCTGTGATAAGACAGCACAACTAAGGCAACTTATTAAAGAAAGAATTTATGGGGGGGGGGGTGCTTACAGTTTCAGAGGGTGAGTCCTTGTTGCGCAGGGCAGGAGCATAGTGGCAGGCAGGCAGGCATGGTGCTGGAGTGGCCAAATGCTTAACCTGATCCACAAGTAAGAGGCAAAGAGAGCTACTGGGGCCTTGGAAATCTTAGAGCCCACTCAGAGTAACACATCTTCTACAAGGCTGCTCTCCCTAATCCTTCCTAAACAGTTCCACCAACTGGGGACCAAGCATTCAAATAGATGAGCCTATGGAGGCCATTTTCATTCAAACCATCACAGTCATGGTGTTTTATCACTGCAATAGAAACCCTGAGAAAGACACTACTGTGTACCAGATCTGTTCATCAGGATGAGGAGCAGCCTGAGCACAGGGATGAAACTTGAAACAGTGATGGCTACTATGGAAAAAAGGATAAAACACGCAGAGACATACAGAAGCTTAGGGGTGTTCTATACAGCATTGTTAAGATGCTATATAAAATGGCATATATGCTATATGAAACGACTTGTGGACAGACAACTTTGAAACGTAATTAAAATGTAATTACTTATTACATTTAATAAAAATAAAAGGGCATACAGGGAAGGGGCTATTAGTAGCTACTAATTTATAGGAAACAGATGGGGCGTGCCTCCCTGTTTAAATCATGTTTGAGTGATTTTAAGATGTAAGGAAGTGTCTGACTAATTTGTAGGGTGTGTTCTGCCAGATGTTGGGGATATGGAGGCTGTCAGACAGTGTCCTTACTGGCATACTTCAGGGGCAGTGAGTGGGTAGCACAGCAGGTCTTGACAGTGAGGAGAAAATGACTGAAGAGGTACCGAGGAAAAACAAAAGCTAAGCAGGCAGGAATATTGGGTTCTTGTACAAAGTTGGACTTTGTTCTGAGAAGGCAGTGGGTGGTTTTGAGGGTAGAAGTGCTATTTTATGGGTCAGTGGTTACTGTGTTGAGAATAGACTCTGGAGGGTCAAGGAAAGAAGCAAAATGGACAGTAAGGCTACTTCAGTAACCCAGATGTGAAATGGCCCAATGCAGTCGATTGCAAAGAACTCAGAAGTGGAAATTCTGGCTATCATGTGAAGGCAGAACTATCATGTGATCGGATTTGCCTATAGATGTGCTTATCGTGTGCAAGGCAGAAAACAGTCCAGGGTGACTCCAAAGTTCCATCTGAGAAACTGGAAGAACATACTTGCTATTTTTGAGATGCAGAATGTTAGATAAAAGAATGCGATGGAAATAGAGTTGGTGGAAGTCAGAAACTTGGGCTTGGGTGTGTGAAATTAAGACTTCTATTGGATACTCAGGGTGGAGTTCTCAAGGAGACAGACAGTTAGCTAGGAGTGATGGAAAGATCGCTGGGAGTCAGGAGCCTATGGCATTTTAAAAGTTAGGAAGTAGAAATTATCACTGAAGGAGCAGGACTAGGTGGAGGAAAGACAAATGTACGAGAAGAAACAGCATCGAGAAGGGAAACTAGACAAGAGGAGAGAAAAGGACTGCCTTCTAGACTTATCCAGTGTTTCTGCTTAGAGAAGGGGGGATCCAGAAATGACCACCGAGAGGCATCCTTGGTAGCCAGCCTCTGGGATGTAGAGCGTGGCACTTTGCTGGTGTTTCAGGTCAGTGTGCCTTGAATATGGTCCATGGCATGATATTATCATGATATTATCAGGCTACTTAAACAACTATTTCTCTCATTAAAAAAAAAAAAAAAACTACCTGAAAATAACTATGAAATTGCTGTAGTTTGAGAATGAACACTCTCAGCTCAGCTTCTGCAGTCTAGAAGCATGCCCACTCACAACTTAAGAATTCAAGTAGGAGAGAGACTAGGTTCTTGAAAAGGGAGGACCTCAATGAGCACATGCCCTTGTCTGACTCTTGTCCCTGAATAGCCAGCCACTAGTTCATTTGAGGTACCACATACGAGGGTACTCTGTCATAGTTCATGGTTATGGGTCTTATACCAAGGAAAAGTACAAACTTTTTGTCTTCATGTTATAGCTGTGGCCATTTGTATCATTCGTTCTGTCTACAAAGCAAGGAATGCACCCTAGAAATTGAGGGTCAAACAAGATGGACATGTTACAAGTGCAGCTCAAGTAACAAAGCTGGCAAACTCAGTGAGAATCCTTCTGAAAGCAAGAAGGGGCGGATAACCTCATCCCAGGTAAGGCTTGTTTTGGAGCTGCTGTGACCTTCCTTTGCTAGTCTGGTAGGTATTGCCTATTCTGTCAGGTCCCCCAGCCTCCTGACGGATACCAAATTGTGCAGCGTCTCTTGCTTACTGCTGCTCAGAGCTTGTCACCTCTGATCAGCACCGACAACCTGATGAAACCTGTTCTGCTTTTGAAGCATGGGGCCCAGGTCAGCGGCAGAGAAGACAGGCACCCTGTCAGGGACCTCTGACAGAGTGGCAGGCAGCGAAGGTAGTGAGCGCATGCCAATACTGATAAGCACTTACTCGGCAAGAGGCCAGAGTCACCACTCGGTTGGAGCTGGTGCCGGACAAGGCGTTGTTGCTTATATGCTTGGCGCATGTCTCCTTTCCTTAAAGAACTTGGTGCATAGTGTTCATCTCAGAAATGTTCTGTTGCCCATGGAGACTGAGGGATCTTATCCGTTACGAAGAGGCTGTGGGGCAGGATGCTCTCTGTTGCTCCCAGGTTTGAGGACACACAACCTGACAACAGGAGGGGTTAAGTGAGAGGTTATCAGGACTGCGCTTGACCGTTGAACTGACACAGTTGCTGCTGCTTGTCCTTTCCTCAGTGCCACACAAGCCCCAGTTGACCCCATTTCTATGTCACTGTTTTATCCATTTTACAGGAGCACGGAAACAAAGTCATGGGCTCCTCTCCCAGATAATTATTTATCATATCTGTACTCCAGTGATAGGAATTCTGATTTTGTCTTTAATATCTGTGTTTGCCCGGTCTTTAATTGAACAGTATGTCAGTATCTAACTGTGCCAGATGTGAATGAAATAGTATATAGGTAAGATAAACATAATTGTGTCTTGGCGATTTATAGCCATGAAGTTACAAGCAGAGTTTGAATAACTGTTCTCAAGTCTTTATGTGATCCCTTCCGAACTCTAGTTCTTTCAGTTATCTGGACATCGGCTGCCTGCCCAGGAAGTCAGTGCCCTAACTTCCCAGAGTTTGATGGTCAGTCCCGTAAGACTGTCCCCATGCCATACACAGTCCCACTACTATCCTAGGACAAGGTTGAAGACAGCTGAGCAAGGCAGGTCCTGTGCCCTCTGTCTGAGCCCACCGTTGTCCCAGCACCTTCAACACCTTCACCAATCCAGAAGCTCTGAAAGCCTGTCATTTTCCAGTTTCATTGTGTAGTCGTGGTTCATTAAATCCTTGTAAATTCTGTGAGCGAGCTCAGTCTTCAGGGTCCTCCCCCTCAGAGGTTCAGATAGGTATAGACCTTGATCCCTGGCTTAGTCCTCCTGGCAGCCAGCCCTCATTCCCAAACTATACAGGGTTCCCAGCTGCCAGTCATCTCATTAGCATACAAAAGGGCTCTTCTCACAGAGCAGGTTCCAAGCGGGAGTCGGTTACTTAGATTTATTTATTATTAATCTGCATGTATATATGTATGTATGTATGTATATATTTATGTCTGTATGCCAAGTACATACAGTGCTCAAGGAGGCCAGAAAGAGGCATTGGATAGCCATTCAGGGTGCTGGGAATTGAACCTGCAACCCCTGGAAGAATAGTTAGTGCGCTTAGCTGCTGAACCCCAGTTCTAAGATTTTTAAGAGCTCTTGTCAGGAACCAGAATTGTCTGAACTCTTACTGAATGACAAGTGCCTACAGATAAACCATGCCGGAAGAACAGAAAATGAGTGTACATGAATCGGATATACAGAATCATGGGAGATCATGTCAGCTGCCCCTTCAGGGGAATAAGATAGGCCAGTATAGAGGTGGATAAGAGAAAGAACGAGGCAGACATCTGCTCTCAATGGAAGAGGGTGTGCGTTAGAACAGTAGCATGGTTGAATCTAGAGGTGAAAGTGTCTCTATCATCACAGGTTTCGCTTCCCTCACAGGTGTCACTGTCCTCACCAGTGTCATCTCCCTCAATAAGTGTCACCACCCTCACAAATGTCACCTCCATCTCTCCTGGAATCCAGCCTCCCCTCGCCATCCCCAAGCCCAGAAGCTCCTGCTGCATTTTGACAGACCTTGCATATCAGATGAGACCCGGTGCGGGGCTCACTCGGCTGTGTGCTGCTAGTCACCGAATGGTCTCACACCTTGGCACATATTCTACACTTTCCTTTGCTCCAGTGACATAGCGTACCATCAGTTTTCCAGTTCTGTCATTTATAGGAAACTTGGCTGCAAAATTCTCTGAGGCCTTCAGCTTTGCTTGCTTGTAACATTTAACCATTGCTTCTGCTTCACTTCAGTACAAGTTTTTGAAGCAGATAAGGTTGCCTGTGAGTAGGAAAATACATCTGTAAGGCAGAGAGACCTTTGTATAAATACTAGGGAGTTTCAGTTTGAGAAAAATATTCCACTGAAAAGGACAGTAAAAGTCCTTGTTGTTACAGCTCCATATGGTGTAAATTCAGTTTCTCATGACCTTCACAAAGAGCTGTAGACACAGACGCGGCTCTTGAGCTTAGAGCGGATGCTGTGCTGGGTTTTGCTACAGAAATGGTAAACAAGAGTTAGTCCAGGGCATCACACAGAATGTATTGTGAATAATGAATTATATCAGCATTCCAGTTTTCAAAATTATTGTAACTAAAAGGAGCAAAGTGAACATCTTAAAATACTGCTTACCGCTGGGATGGTGTCCCAAGGGCAATGGAAAAAGTTAAGTAATAGCCATCAATCCATAGTATGGTGGGTTTCATTAGACTTCGCTACGTGAGCATTTTACTTTCCTCTGAAGAGCTGTCCATCCTAGTCAAGTCTGTCCAGAGAACACAGCAGGAGCCACTCGGCATTCACCAGCTTCTCTCTGTGAACAGGATGATTGACTGTGTTTCAAATACCCCATTGGCCCTGGAACACTGTCCCTATCAATAGCCTTTTATTTTATCTTTTCAGGAAACGTATGTAGACTTAGATTTTACAAAAACCTACTTTATGTAGGCTTCTTAAATGCCTCTACCTCCCTTCCAACCCACCCCCGCCCCTAGTTAGGAGAGAAAGAAAGTTAGCAGGGACATAGACTGTAGACCTCTTTAGCTACTTCCTGCTTATTCTTTAGGGCAATACCAATGTCAGTCATCTGGATTCCAGCGGTCCAGTCAGACAGCAAATGGTAGCAAGAGCCTTGAAGCATTCTCTGGAGTGTTTCTCTTTCTCTCTAGGAGCATCTTGAAGCAAAGCCATGCAAAGTAATGCAAACTGAAGTGATTTGAAGCATCCTCTGTCTGTGGGCTCTTATTTATACCTTCTCAGAGTCCACACAGGGATGTTTTCCTGGTGGTAAAACCCATGCCCCTCACTTGAGGCAGTTTCCAGCTGACAAAGATCATGCACTCTCTCATGAGTCTGTTTTCAATAGTAGGTAAAGAACTTCCACATTCCACAGTTGGGACTAAAACAAAAAACACATTCACATAACACAACTGAGTTTTTAAAGAAACCAAAACTTCCACTACAATAACAACTGATATTTAATTTTCTGGCTTCTGACTCCAGCTCAAGTTCATACAATACTTAACCCAACCCTGTGGTCCTGGCAGGTCAAAGTGCTGTCTCCTGCCAGTCTTCCCTAACTTAATGTGTTAAAATCACTATCGGCCAATATGTCCAGCCAGTAACACTTACATACTAGTTGTCCAGCAACAAATCAACATGAACGTGACAGGAGGGATCCCCCAGAAGACCTGCTTTCTCCTGAAATAAGGATTTGATCCTCTAAAGCCCAAAGAAACAGTCCAAATGAGTTTCTTCCATTAGTCGCGGCAGGTATGCGGCCGCTCAGTCAGGAATCTCAGGGCCGAGGCTGTCCTGGAGGGTCTGTGTCATTTACTCCCAGTTTCTCTGCATGCAGATGAAGTGCACAGGAGACATTAACTTCAGTGCAGTGCTCAACACCCTCCTCTAGTATCTCCCGAAGTTATTAATTTATACTAATATCAAATCATTTCAGGTTCTTCTTAACTGTTCATGTAGTAAATTCAAAGTAACGAAAGTAGAAGATCAAAGGAAAAAAAGATTTATTAGATCCTAAACACTATTAACAAGGTTCAGAGTTCTGTTTTATTTTTGTTTATCCTTTGTCTCTTTGTTGTTATTTCTCTTTCTGTTCTGTTTGTGTTTATGGTGTGTGTCCTCCACTTGTGTCTGTCAGTGTGTCATGGTGCACACACAGAGGCAGAGAACAATCTGGGCTGTGACCCTCATCTTCTTTCCTTGGGACACTGTCTTTGTGCTTATCCCCTGTGTGTCCAGGCCAGCTGGCCTGTGAGCTTACGGGGGTTCTCCTGTCTCGGCAGTCCATCTCCTCATGGGGTAGCTAGGGTTACAGTCAAGGCTCTGTGTGCAGAGCCTCTGTGGCCCAGGTCCTCCTGCTTGCACAGAATGCTCCTCTTTTTACCTGCCGAGGTGTGTCTGCAACCAAGGTTTGGTCTTCTTCAGGACAGATAGTAAACCAGCAGCATCAGCAGCATGAGCACGTGTGTTTCATCTTCAAGGTGATAGGAAGCACTGATGATTTTAAAGCAAAGGGGTCTGATACAGCTCAGGAACTGGGCTGTGGGGAGACCTCTGTATCTATTCCCTGGCTTTTCTTCACCTCTTTTCCATGTCTGTCATAATGAATGGTGTAACGTTCCTACCAGTTAGCAAAGGCTTATGTCCAAGACATCTAAGAATGACTTTAATGCAGAAAGAATTTTCAGCCATTGTGCATTTTTGATGAAAATATAAAGTAAGGACTTAAAAAATTCCACTGCCCAATAATGTGAAAATATTCATCTTACCAATGTTCAAAGTACATTGAAATAGCAATATGTCTTTACTTTAGCTTACTTAGCTAGCCGGTTCTTAGAAGTGCTTACTAAACTGGCACACATTTAAAGATACCCTTTTGTGAGTGTGTGTGTGTGTGTGTGTGTGTGTGTGTGTGTGTGTGTGT